TGAGTGACAAGAGTCAATCAATGATGACAAATACTTTTCACTTCACTTCTTAGAAATTCTTATTGGGGGAGAATCTCAATACTTCAAATACTTTTAATTAAGCTTCACAAACCTCTGACATGTCCTCATGGTCCTCAGCTTAGCTATCAGAAAATGGAGATTAAAGCTGACTAACAGTATTAAGGAGAACTGTTTGTTGGAACTGAAACAACCATAAAAGACAACTTCTCTAAATACTTAAGCAGGGAAGCACTCTCCCCAGGGGCTGGAAATCCTTGAGCTATATACTTAGGAAGATAGGGAAAGCAGTGACTTTCCTTCCTGCTAACTCCATTTAAATTCCTAAAGCAAGGCTAAGGATACATTTGGAGAAAAGTTGATCTCTGAAGTAGCCTACTGGTACAGTGATGAGACTCTTGTGGCCTTTTCAAACCAGAATGCCCTCAGCAACCTAAGAATGTGTTTTCCATCCAACAGCTTGACCAAGAAACTTTGGACACTACACTTTTATTATTATTATTTTATTAGTTGTCATTCTTTGACATGATGAATACTTACAGCAGTATGTTAAAAAAAGATACAGTTAAATCTCTTGGCATCACTGCATAGCAGTCACAGCATTTTCACACAATCGAGTGCTTCCTTTCCGAATGATGCATATGGCATATATACGCACATATGGGGGCTGATTCTTGGTCCCAGGGAAGTTGGTGGGACCACTGTTTGGCCCATAAAGTTGTATAAGATATGTGAATGTGTATATATAAAATGCTTTACAATAACCATGACATATACAATCTTGAATTCAAAGATAAGCAGAATATATTTTACATCCAAGTCAAACTTGCACTCTGCATTAAAAGTTTATGTACCTAAAATACTGGGTGGATTATAGAAACAAAGAATAGAATAATAGCTTGCACCAATCAAAGTATTTTGGATCCATGTTCTTGGCATGAAGCGTGCCCTCTTTTTTGGTGGTGGTTTTCTGCGGGCGGGGAGAGGAGGGGAAGGATTTGCAGGATCATACTTCAAATTGAAGCTTGGATTCTGTGGGGAATGAACTGGGGATGATGGGCCCATGAGATGGAGTGCTTTACAGACAGCTCAGCTGATTGACTTAAATATAAGGCTATAAATTATGGCCTGCACTCTGACTGATACCTGATAATTATTACCACTTGAGTGTTTCTCCTTTCCAAGAAGAGCTGATTTGGAAGGAGCTTGTACTTGTTGAAAACTTTAATAATAGAGTTCAACTGCAGACTAGAATATTTAGTAAGAGCTATGCAGATAGAAAACTGCATTCCTATTCCATTCACTGTGGTAGCAGCCTTCTCAGCAATCAACTGAGAGACCTTGCTTTTCCTTGCCAAAACCAGTAAGTTATATAAAAAAAAAAAAGTCCCACATTTTAGCTTAGTTAAGGCAGCTCTGCAGATCATGTTTTCCTCTGCCATACTCCATTTTTACTTCCTTTTTATGTATGTTCCCACGCAGTGTCAGCTGTTCCCTTCTCTCCTCTGCATTTAAAAAGTACAGTCCTGTTTCCCCCCATACCCTTACAGCTGGTGAGCAGAATGCTGACCATTAATACCCCCAAGATAGGTAATACCTTTTATTAAAACACATACCTAAGTATTATTTTAATCAGTTTAAAAGTTCCACTTATTCCCACTTTTTTTTCTTTTTATCCCCACACACAGAGTTTACCTCTATGAAGGTATGAAATCTGCATTTAAAGAAAGTGGGTTTTAATCAAGTGAATTCCATTTGTGTGGTATTTCTGAGAGCATTTTAGCCTCTCGTTCTTAGCAGTTTCTGCTTCCTTCATTACATATATGAAAATGTAACTCAATTATAAAACTTCAGAAACTGTTAGGTGCATAGACCTAGAAGGAAAGAACAATAATTTGCACATTCTGTAAAATGGTTGATATGGCTGGTGAGAATGAAATCATATGCTCTGTATGTCTGCAAATATAAATATATGTTTATATATTCCTCCTCCATTCTGTCTTCTAGTGTTCTGCTGGGGAGAAACCCCAGTGCAGAAATGTTCTCCAAACCAAACACCCAAGACATATCACATCTGCATATACTGAATGTTGGTACTGTCAAATTGGTTGAATTGGTTGCAGTTCGGCTTCTTCTGGAGCCAGCCCAAACCCCTTCCAAGCAGTGTTTTACCAGAGAACGTAACTGGAATCTATCAAGTGTGTTCAGAAACAAAAAGAAATCCTCTGTTCTTTGAAAAACTGCTCTTAAAATGTTTATTAGGAAGTTTTGAGTCAGTGAGTGCTATCTTTTGATGGGTTCAGGAGGTTCTAATTACATAGAAGGTCTTGGTGGTACCGTAGCTGTAGGAGAACTCGCTATGTATGTGCCGAATTCTCCAGCTGGATCTATTGGAAGCTCCTCAGAAACAGCACAATGATGTCAACATGATCTGTCAACAGGCTTTTATGCTGCTAGATACCAGGTTTGCTTACGCAGAGCTTTAGAACATTTTTAAAAAATTCTTTGAACTTGATGAAGGTGGCTTTCACTTCTCAGTAAAAAGACAAAGCAGGAAGGAAATGCTATTCTTTTATATGTACCCAAAGTGCTGCCTATAAGCACTTCCTCTGCTTGTTTCGCCTTGTCCTAAATCCGTCAGGAGAAAGAAAAAACACACCTGAAAGGCTGTGAAATGTTGATGATCCCACCCCCACCATCAGGTGGTTAAAAAGGCGTTTATGTCCTGTAGTTAGAAATAACTTTATTCTCCCTCTCTGTGAATGTTACTTGGTCTCACTTACAGTACTCCAATTTTCGAGTCCCCTTTAGAAGAGTGAGGAAGAAGAAAATTCTGTACTGCTCGACAAAATAGTCTGTAAGTTGATAGAAGAAAACTATTTATCTTAATATAACTTGTGTTCTCACAGTTGATGTCCACCTAGCTCACTGTGTTTCAGTATCTTTTTCGAAAGATGCCCCTGCTCTATGAATTAGAATGAGTAAAACCTTTACTACAACTTGTGATTTCCATTTTCCTCTAAACACATTAGGCACCTCGTAAGAATGAAAACTTTGTCTAACTCAGGCAATCTTCCCTGCAACTGAGAAAAATTTTACCACCTCTCCTCTTGCACTTTTACGAAAAAATCTTATTTTTTTGAAACGCAAGCTTACAAAGTGTTTTCTTTTTGGCCTCTCCAAGGTAATCATGACACAAGATGATTATATGGCAGCAGGTGCTATTTTTGTTGGAAAATAGCTATGCAGACTTGATATAGTGGAGGTTTGCAACAACATTCCTTTAATATGATTTTTGGGGAGTGGGAAGTAAAGGGAGGCAAACATCTGGTGCAATGCAGCAGTGCTCATGAAAGCCATCCCATTGAAACTGATGGAAGCTTAAGAAAACATGTAAAAAGGCTATCTGAATTGAGGTTGTTTATGGTATATGTAAGGCCATGGATCTTTCAAAAACACCAGGACATAGAAACTTCCTCAGCTATTGCAACAGTTAAGAGATTTTTCTTAACAGATTGGCTACAAAGCATTTTTTTTCCTTCATTGAGTGAGATTGATCTGAATGTCAGATGAAGTAATTTTAATGAAAATAAAAATACAGGTGCATTTAGATGCTGCCTATGCAAGGAGGGAAGGTATGGAAAAATCACCTACACTTCAACATTGCTCAGGAAAACAACTGGACTCTAGAACAACTAGATGTTGTGCTTAGCAGATCACTATGCTAGTTAACAAAAATTCTAACTCTTGCATGAATGTTAGTCGGGTTGAACCGTCAAATTATGTGGTGTTGCTGTGTAGTTTTGTTTAAACTGAGACTTTAGGCTCTGTGAAGCATTTGCCTAGACTGGACGTGCAAAGTGCCATGGATTTAGAAACACGGACCCGCATGGAATGCGTTTGAAGTTTTCAGGAAGGTGTCGTGCCAGACTTCATTCCGTGGTGACCTTCGGCACACCTTTGATAGTGGGAAGGCAGGTCAGAATCAGATCTTGTGATAATATGATTTTGGCAGCTATCAGAAGATGAAGGATGTTAGAAGTTAAGGCTTTATCCACAAATGATGGTGTATATTAATAAATTCTATACCGTATTTACAAATGCTTTCTCTTGTATGAAAACTAACAGTATTCTGTTCACAGTGCCAATGTTTATACAGGTAGCAATCCCACAGTACTCCAGTATTTTGGCATGGGAATCAGTAGCGCTTTGTATTTACAGAAAATGTACACATATGAATATAAACATGTTATTTGAAACAGTACTTAAAAGATACATCTGTTCATGTTTCAAAGGTTTTGACTATACAACACCTTCCCCTTCACTTGCGAGGCAATACCGTTCCTTGCAGTGAGAAGATGCCAGTCTTTTATCCAAAGTGGCATAAAAATGATTACCAAAATGAGCTTTGTTACACTGGAGTTGTGTATACGAAGAGCAACTTCAGTCCAAAGTTTTTAGATCGGTTGTTTAGTGCACAGAATACAAAAGTTAAAAAGGTTTTTTTTTTGTTTAATTACTAAAATAACCAGGCTGTCTCTGCCCTCTGCAAGCGCTGTCTTGCTCAGCCAGTGTCCTCTGGATTTTGAAGATGCTGGTGGCTTAATGTGCAGCCCAGCTGCCAGATTGGAAAGTGTAGGGTGCTCTGGACCTATATACACGTGTCACAGTATGACTCATGGCAAATGGATCTGTAACCAGGCGCACCTTTAACTGCCCCGCTCTCTCGGGCCTCCTCCCCACGCAGCGGCCGCTGGCCGGGCCGGGTGCTGCCCAGCGCCCCGCAGTTCATGGCCACAAGCGAGCAGTGGCCGCGGGCAGGCGCGGAGCGAAGAGGGAGAGCGGCAGGAAGGAGGTCTGCACTGGCACCCCCCAGCAGAGCCACGGCTTTACTCATGACCACCCTTACAGCTGCTGCCGTGCTGTTTCTTCTCTTTTCCATGTTCTTGCCAACAGGCTCCTTTTAGACCCTTGGGATTTCGTTTGCTCCTATGATCAAGACAGAGATAGCAGTGCTATAAGGAAAAAGTGCAAAGCTGCCACTAAGGAGTCTCTTCTTCATTTAAAGTCTGTTCTTGGCTGCCAGTCACTTGACCTGAGTGGTCGCTGCTTCTATTACTGCTGTGTTGCTTGTGGAGCAAACTCCTCCACTTGGCCTTGTTCCTCCTGAGATGGTTTAGCATGTTTTCAGAGAGGGGAGTGTCTCCTGTAAACTGGGCCCACCTCTCAAACAGTGGCTCTACGATGTATGTCATGAACCCTGGGGAAGCACACAAAACAAGGCAGGTCAGCAACAAATCCATTCACTGAATGCCCTTCCCCATGGAGAGGGCCAAGAGGATGCAGCAGTGTAAACTGCAGAACACTGAGGAGAGAACGATAATGCCTCAAGCAGCCATTAACTCTTGTAAACATGACTTGTGATAAAGATTAAGTGCTTGTGATAAAGATATGTATCTATCTGTACGTGTAACATTGAAATCTGAAAGAGAAATTCCCCTTTCAGATTCTCTCAGGGGGAAATGACATCCTTCTCTCACAAGGTTTCAGATCAGATAGTTATCTATATAAAATCACATGTGATGGCTGTGATTTTTCTTTACAGATATTAGAATGAACCCTCCCCTCCCAAAACTTCTTTTTTTTTTTTTTTTTCCTTATGAAACCTTGGATAGGTTTCCTGTTTGAATGTTTTCAGAATGTGAATCATGACTACTACAGCCAGGATCTAAGCTCTGCATCTATGAAATTATTCAACAGGCTCACTCTATTTAGATGTTTTTAAACCAAAAAAAAAAAAAAAAAAAAAAGAGCAGCTACCTGCAATTTTAAGACAATTTATTTTTAAGAATTTTTTTTTAAGGTAGACACTGTTTTTAGCATCTGTTTTACTTAGTTGCTCTAGTCAGCTAGTTCCTTAGCTGTGGCTGTGAATGAGAGAGCTGAGAGTATAGTGTGTTGGAGCCCTGTAAAATACCTAAGAGGCAGAGATGATCCTTACAAGGGCAGAGAGTGCTGCCGTGGCTATTCTGCTTCCTAGTACACAGCATGCTGGACTTACGTGAACCTGGGGACTTCTGCACTACCCTATACTATGTACCTATAACATACTTATATCCATTTATAGCCTTTGTTATAGATAGGTATGTTGCAGATGCCTTTTATACCGTAGAGTGCAGTGAAATTTGTATGCTGGCCTTTAATAGCACATGAGAACTTCTTTGTGCCAGAAAGGTTTGTCTGTTCTAACCTAATGGGGAATGGCTTTTACACCGGCTTTTTGTATTGTTTCACTCTAGAATAGCTGTTGTGCACAGTATTGGTTTGTATTTAAGTGAACTGTTATTAAAATGTCTTTGATGATAGAGGAAAATAAATTGAAATAATGCTTGTAAGACTTAAGCTGCAGTATGATTCCAACAAGCAGGAGCTCAGGAAGGGAACATTTAAAGGCAGAATTAGAATTTGGCTGCTGTTCCTTTGTTGTATGGGGATAAACTACGATGTAGCAGGTTTATCTGCAAATCATGACTCACTTCTGTCAGCAGGTTGCCACTGATGCTGTAACCTTAATGCGCTTGGATTTATATAACTCTGAAATGACCGGAAGGGCCTGACACTGCCAATAAAACTGCTGTCTGGGGTTTGCGGCTACAGCCTGGGCCTGCGTGTGAGGTCTCCGGGGTCGTTCGGGACTCCTCGAGGAGTGTTTGTGTTTGTGCCATGCGCGCCAGCTGGGCAGCCATCTTGGGTGCGGGGTAGGCTCGCGGTCAGGGCGGCAAGCAGGCCTCGCTTCAGGTGGCTTTAAACAGCAAGCTGTGGCTAGCCTTCCTGTGGACGTAGCTTTGGTCACAATGAGCTGAAGCTATTTGGGGATGAAAGTTACGTTTCAGAAAGGCTTGTTTCAGTTTGGTTGTCTCAACTTAGCTACACTATATTTCCATTGCAGATGACCTTGGTGTGGTAAAATTTCACATCAGTTAAGCTGATTAAGCTAATTTGATCTCTGTGGCAAAGTGAAGCTGAACTTAAAGCAATCACATAAGGAAAAAATCACAATTATTTATTATTAGATGATTTATTTTAACTCCTTGCTTCTTCCTCATGCTTTTCTGGCAAGGCAAAAGGAAGATAAACACTTTAGCAGCATTGTTCAGTTGTGAGACAAGGACATTTTATGGTTATACAACTGCCCAGTTAACATACTATACATATGGTATAAAACTACAGATGTATTTATGAAAACTCAGATTACAAACTAGCTATTAGGCTGCTGAGATCATACTGCAAACATTGCCCTGGAATCACTGCTCCCTGCTCTTGTGCTGTCCAGCACATGGAGGCTGTGGGCTGCCAATATGCATCAGAGCAGAGGACAGAAACCTTGTGTTTAGTGCTCTAAAGGCAGTGAGTTGGGCTTGAGACAGCTAAAGTATTGAGAAAAAAAAAAAAAAAAGGAAAAATAGAGAAATTGGGATCCTGACTTCTTGATCCAAAACCTCCAGGAAACAAAGAAGTCTGAAAGCTCTCAGGATACCACATTATTTCTTTATTTTTCTTCTCCACTGGATCATGAAACTTACTTCTGCAGGAGAAGTAGATCATCAAGTGCTTATGAAGAATCTGCAGGAGACTGGACAGAGGAAATAATGGTGACACTACTCCAAATTGTCAATCTTTGTTGCAAGTTCAACAGTTTTGGAAATTCTTTCCCTCATCATCACATGTAGTCAAATTACTTCATTAAAACAAGCTTGCAACTGGTTGATCATCTCTTTGAGTCAAGATCATGCTTCACCTCATAAGTAAGGCAGCAAGGAGTCAATCCTAGATCAAACGTTCAGGATTCACAAAGTTGACCTTGGCTGCTAGTTCACTGGGCTTATGTGGCAGATGGATTTTGTTTCATCACATATCACATTTCAGTTTGTGCTTGAGCTTGTGCCACACTGGGATAAACAGAGTGATGGAGATAACAGAGTGAAACTGGTGCTTACCAATTTGTATGCTTGGTATTGTGTCCTTCTGCTGATTACAAAGAGGGCTTATGTCCAGTTCAAATTTTTGTTCCAGGTCACCTACAAAAAAAGAAAATAATTTGCTGCCACTTGCATCTCTTCACATTAGCTATGTGAGACTGCAGCTGCAGGGATCCGAGCAGTTGGAATAGTGCACCAACAAAGACTACATTAAATGTCTGAATGCCTTTGTTTTGCAGACCCTCTTTTTATGCATTTAATTTTGGGTTATCAGAGGAACTAACTAATCTTACTAAGGAAAGTTTATCTTAGGAGAGGTGACTTTTGAATGAACATTAAATCTGAGCACTTAAGTGTTTTAAGGACTTTAATTTTCAGAAATAGTTTCTCTTACATGAGAAATACTTCTCATATGTTTTAAGACATTCTAGTTTATTTACTTACAGCTCAAATGTGCTCCTACTAGAAAAAAAATGCATAGTATGTACTTCAGAAACTTTGAATCTCCATTAGCACCGCAGGGTGAGTCGTTAGTGTGTCTGCGGTACCAGACAATGGCTGCTAAAGGGCAGCCTGGTGGAGCCTGGCACTTGGTCCGCAGCTGGATCTGCACACGCAGACTAACCAGGGCAGGAGCTTGAGCAACATAGGACCAAGTGTTGAGAGCTGTGGAATTGAAGTTATAAATGCGGATGAAGATAAGGATTAAATTAAGTTTGCCTTTCAGTTGTGATATAGCTGAGTGTCTGTAATTCCCTGGTTGGTCCAGGAAGTTCCCAGGGAGTCATCTGCCCAGGACTGTTTTGAGACTGTAGATGGACTTGAGACAACACAGTTGCCTGAGCTCCTGGCCCCATCCACAACCCAGGACTGGACTAACTGGAGCAGGCGGGCTGCAGTTGGGAACCAGGGGCTGCTGTACATGAGCAGGGGAGTCTGGAGGCGCGGAGCAGCCTGCGGGAAGATGGCTGCTCCAGAGCCTGCTTCAGGCCCAACGTGCTGCAAAGCTGGCCAAACTGAAAGAGTCACCTGAGACTGTTCCTGCAGGGGCAGAAGTGGGCAGGCAGCACAGTCTTCTGTATGGAGCTAAGGCAGTTAGTTAGGAGATGTGCTGTGTGTAGCTGAAGATAATCAACAGCAATGGTGCATGGCATGGCTGCAGTGGTGAGAGAAGACCACACGGCGACTAGATACATGAATCCCTCATTGCTCAGGGAGTTTCTTTTGCTCCATCTGAAGTTGCTGTTGTTCCCTATTCCATCCCCACTAACAGAGTGTTCACTTAAATGCTTTTGTGCCACACAGGCACATATAGGCACATATAAAATACTATATGCATTTTAAAGCCTTGCCTTCCCATGTAGTACACAATTGTTTCATAAAAGTGTGAGGGGATATTTTTGTTTTTAATTAGGTATTTAGAAAATATTAGTGAAACATGTAGAGTTTCACAGTCAAAAAGAACAATTCAACAAAAAAAAGAAAAATAAATGTCATGTTTCCAACTGTGCAGTTCCTTTGTCCACTTCTTTCCCCATATCCCTTCCAAAAATCTTTGACAGAGAAAGTGTCTAACTTTAGTGACATCCCCTCTGGAGATATTCTGGATTCACAGGGTTCACCTCTATGACTGTAAGTGTCCAAACATCCTCTTTGAACAGGTCTTTTACAATAGAAAGCTAAGATTTCCCTTTGCATGGCAAGAACTTAAGTTGCTGGTCAGTCTTCTTATGTTGCTATGAAAATAACTGCATGAATTAGAGAATGCTGAGAACTTTCACACTGGGGAAAACAATCCAACCAATGTTAAAAACTCTCCAGAGGTTTTTAACCTGGATATTAAAGGTGATTAAGCATTAACCATTTTCTCAAAACTTGTTTCTTGCCAAATCCGATTTTACATAAACAAATCAAGTTGCATTATTTTCCTTATGTGCCTATTTAACTTTAAAAATGTCCACTGAAATTATCTAGCTTTAATACTGATTAAAGATTTTCACTGTATGGACAAAGCCCTGATCACCTGAGATCAAGTTAAAATATTTTTCAGGAAGGGTTTGTGTTAAGAACCATTGCAGGCATCAATGTGTCTGATTTGTATATTTTATTTTAGAGCACCATATAACTTGAAGATCAGGATATGAATTTCTTTCACAATGACACTAAAATATTTACTACAAAGAATTTTAAAACTTTGTATGTGTTAGATAAGGAAGATCAAGCAAGGCACTAATCATGAGGATATCTGCCTAGTCTATAATTAAAAATGACACTTGTTCTCAGTAAATAAGAGCTACAGCTTTCAAATGCTAATCTCAGTGTCTGGTAGTCCTTTTGTGTCAACAAACCACCTTCAAACCCCAGGATCATGTGTAAGGGGAGACAGAGACAGAGATATTTTTTAAAAATGAAGACATAATGGTATCTAAATACAAAACAAAAAAAGTACTGAATATAGTGTATTAGCAGGATCTACAGCCAACAGTGATAGTCAGACCACAGTTCTGTACATTCTCCCAAATCAATTGCTAACTATTTTTTTCCTCGTTACAGGTGTAACAGGTCCTGTCTGCCCGAACATTCCCTTTCAGAGGTCTGTTTGATGGGTTACACTAGTGAATCTTGAGCCTTGGGGTAAAAAAGCTCAAGTTCATTAGGGTTGAGACTGCTGTCTGTTTCAGCATGGTCCCTCATGTGGTGGATATTGATTATCTTGATTTTACATCTGATTAAATATAGCTGCATCTTGCTGTTTGTCCCATGGCACTTGAACAGCATCAATTCAAAGACACTTCACCAGTTCTAATTGACACTGGCTGAAAATTAACTTGCTGGCCTATTTGTCTTTAGTTGTTAATGTTATGGTCAAACTGTACTAACTACCATCTCAAACGCCACTTAATTTTGTCATGCAGCATGAATTTTTAAATGAACTCTGCATTTCACTGTGCTTTTCCAGTATTCGTACTAGTTGCCTTAGGCTCTAAGGATGCTGCTAACAATGAACTTAGTGGTGATTAAACTCCACTGTACCCCGTCTGTGTTGTAGCACAGCATGACCTTGTCTTATGCAGATAGAGCCAAATGCTGTAATTACTGTGCTGAAAAAAAAAAATGCCAAAACCTGCATGACTGAGCTCTCTGCAGGAGTTTGAAAACATCTGCAATAGGCTCGAGCACAGTTTTGGCTTGCCTGCTTTGGTCCATTACGCTGTGTTAGAAGAGTTCAGCATAGCGGGACTCGCATTCAGACTCCTCTGCGTGTGCACGCGGGAGAGGGTGTTGTGTTTGGGAAAGGCCGAGGGCAGGACTACCCCAGGCACCGTACTGGCTTGGAAAAGGGAGATGAAACAGAGGACAGCGCTGTGGTCGTGCCACCCTGGCACCGTTTCAGCCGGCTTCAGCTGACAGTGACCAGAGAGGGTGCTCGAAGCAGCACTGTGCTCCGCTAAACCCGTAAAGCACAAGCAGACACGCGCTCCTCCTCCCTCCTCAATTGAGGTGATGGCTCTGTGCAATAGCTGTTTTGTTCTTTTTGGGGTGGTTTCCAGGGCAGGCGGGCAGTGCTCACCTTGCCGGTAGAACTCCTCGCAGACCCGCTCGCTCCACTGCTTGCTCAGCTCCCAGAGGCGGCAGGGGTTGCAGATGTCGGCGCACTTGAGCGCGATCTGAAAGCCAGGGGTAAAAAAAGCGATGAGAGGAAGAAATTATTGTCTAGCGGCGTTTTGGCGGGACAGCAGTACAGTCACGAAACCCCTGGGCATAGAGTGATGCTGAGAAGGGTTAATGTCACCTTTTAGAAACTAAGCCATGCCCAAATGTGCCTTTTGAGGAAAGATCATTTACTTAAGCCGCAAACAAAACTTTCATTCAGCAGTCCGCTTTACTGTAGCGAGAACAAGGGGAGGGCCGCTTTCCAAGACTGCAAAGCCTTTTGGATATTCCTTGAAGGGAATAAGCCAACAAAAGCTTCAGGCTGGCTCCTGCTGACTGCCGCGCTTAGCATCCATCACTGGGGACAAGGAAGGGGAAAGCCAGGCTCCTGTGACACTATTTGGGCATCGCTTCTCTGTGGTCTTGGTGATTGACCTTGTATCTCACTTCAATTGCATTTCATTGTAATGTCTGCAAAACTGTTTGCAAAGCTAAGCACAGGGCCCTTTGCATTGCCTCTGGCTTGGCTTCACTTTATTACTTAACACTTTCAAAGTACTTCGAAGGGAATGAGGATGGGAAAGCAGGAGATGTTTAAAATCGAGGCACTGATTCAGAAAAGTAAACTAATGCAAAAGTCTGCCTCTCTCTCTTGCTGCCTTGGAACAAGATGTCAAGTACCTATTTCTCTGGCGATTGACCCCATCTGGTTAGCTTGACAGAGGACAGAATTCATTCTGGGACCCAGATGGGAAAACATACAATATTTCTCATATAAGTTGAGACCACTTCAAAAGTTCTTCTAGAGAACTCTCCTCATCATACTGCTCTCTGGAAGGTCCTTTCAAATATTATGTAGTAATTAACTTATCCTCATCAGTCAAGCTTTTTTTGTTTGTTTTCAAGTTATTGTACAACTAATCCACTAAGCAAGTGAATATGGGCATTTTTGTGCCCTTAGCTTCTATCCTCAAGAAAGTAAGGAGAGTGTTATTTTTTTTCCCATGCATGAGATCTGTAATCTCTGTCCCTTTGGCATTTGTACAGCTTTCTTCCTTAATCTGTCAGGAAATACGATAAGCCATCACCCTGCTGTGCACAATCCATGGAAAAATCTGATAGAAGACTGTTTTATGGAGGCCAGTCAGGCAGGTTATTACGTTTCCCACACTTCTGGAAAGGGGAGATTTAACAGCTCAGCACCTTTCCTGTCACCTCGACAAACCGATAAAATGTAGATGTTTGTTTTATAACTGATGATCATTACCTAAACTCTTTTTATGTATTTAAGAGCAAAATCGATGTCTGGTCTCCAGCTTGTACATGCTGCTACTTTGATCTCAGTACTGTAATGCTTTAACTGGCAGAGGTTTATTTTGAAAAGCCTGTTAATGACCACAGTTTAGCTGGAAGAACCAATTTGAATCCATTTGATTTTTAGAATAAAACTTGTTTTCTTCATCATCTCCAACAGGGAAGCACCTGCTGGCATCATAAAAGCTGTCCCTGCAGAGACAGGTTAAGGGCATTGATCTTAGGGGCATGATTTGGGCACCTGATGTCAGATTGCCTTGGAAAGAACATGGAGTAGGAGACTCCATGGAGGATGACTGCTTATCTTCATTGATGCTGTCCAGTATCCATTGCATTCACAGCTTTTTAACTCAAGGAATTTACTTACAGAAATACTTGCTGACCAGGTGAACTTTCTTATGCCATTCCAATGCTTTATCACAAAATACTGTGACTTGAAAAGCGAATAAAAACAACAGTAGCAAAAATAATTTTAAGAAGTTACCTGAAGCATAAAATGTCTGTCTTGTGCATCCTCCAGTCTCAAATCCTGATTGTCAAGGTGAGATTTCAGACGGATCAAAAACTCATTCTGTCTATTGATGTCTGTTGCCAGGATTAGGGAGCCTAATTGCTGTTCGATATCCTGTCTGCAATTAAAGGAAAATAAGCCCTTTCAGTCATGGAACCGTGGAATGTAATGGTTCGAAACAGACTTCTGCAAATCACAGCTACCATAGAGCTACTTCTTTCCTAGAGATTCAGTTTGGTCTATTTGGTCATTCTCTGCTGGAGTCTATTGGTTAAGGAGACTCATGAGGAATAGATAATGTGGAAGAAAAATGCTGTTGGCATAGCTGGTTCTGAAAGCTTCCAAAAAGTGCTAGGTAGGTGAATATTAAACAGTGCGATGCATCTAGAAAAATGTTCACATCTTACAGAAGAAGCCTGCATGATGTAGAGGATTTCTAGAGGGATATGAAGCTTGTTACTACTAGGTAACTAACATTTGTTCTTGGTAAAGTCACCTGTAAAGTCAATTTACTTTTGCGGGCTTGTTGGCTGGCCTAATAGATACTCAATGCTGGAAATAACAGTGCAAAACTAGCTGGGAAGAACTTTACATCAACTTTGCCTACATGATCAAGTGCTTTTTTTTTTTTTTAAACTCTTTTCTCTCCTTTCAGCCTAAAGGATGGTGGAGACTGAATGATGCTTGCCTGATGTATTGTGTGTGTAATTCCTGAGCAGCCGAGCAGCCTCTGTTCTGCTTGGCTAGTTCCTCAATTTTTCTCTCTGCTTGATTTTTATTTTTTTATTACTACATCTTTGCATGTTTGGTTGATACTATGTAAAATCAAAAATGCCACCAACGGCTCTGAAAAGTCCCATTTGTGCTGAGATTCCCAGTATCCCTAATGCTGACAGTGTTGCGACAGTGACAAATTCTTAGAAAACACTGCTGCTGCCTAACTGTGCCTCATGGGTTTTGTATGGGCAGCGGGAGAGGGCCTCTGTTGCAGCAGGCTTTCAGGAGCAGTGAAGGAAGGCACAGGCCGCCCTGAGCGACGTGTTTCCTTACGTGACTTCCTTGGGCAGGTGGGCCAGGAGCCGGGATTCTCGAAGCATGCCGATGGTAGACCGCCAGTGGTGATTTTCCAGCACGGAAACGTTCTAGGGAGGAACGAGAGAGATAAATCCACGGATTGGGCAGATACACAGGGTGCAGATACAGATTCACCATATCACATGATGGCTGAAGCTGGCTGGAAATGCTGTAGCAAAACTGAAGACAATGAGCCTAAAATGTTTTGTTTTCAAGCCACCTTTTGGGTTTAAAGGAATTGGTCTAGATTTTCAGAGTTAAAGACATTGTGCTTCTAAGTGTCCCCGAAGCCCTGCTGTATTATGATTTTTCTTTGGAGTTCTGCTGTGAACAGTTGAGTTAATCTAGTCTGAGCATGAGAAAGATTACATTCCAGCAGATTGTATTGTTTCTGACTAACTTGAACCAAAGTTGGGGGTAATCCTAAGAAACAGAAACACAGCTTTCTAGTGAGTCAGTAAATCTTAATTGAGTATCTCAGGTCTGCTGACATTACACTACAAGTATCTATGCTAACACAATGGATTCATACAAAGGTGAGCGTGCAAACTTGACTGATTTGCCATTTTTTTTCTGTAGTAAATTCTATTGTTCTTGAATTCATGCCATATCTGATATGTTGTTTTGTGTTTTTTGTTTTTCCTTTTTTTTTCTTATTTTTTTCTTTTATTTTCTGTTTTATTTCCTGTTTTCCTAATAGAAAACACAGATACTGCAACTAAAATACTTTCCAAGCCTTCAAAGACTAAGTCCTTTTCTTTCGAGGATCTGACAGATTCAGAAACTGCTACGCAATGTCTAGATTACTTACAACAGCAATCCTGCTGTGTAGCCAACTTAAATACATTTCTTCTCCTTTTGCCTAAATACATTAGGATAGACTTTGTACTTTGACCAAAGAAAACAAGTGAATATAATGGCACATAACGACGTTTTTTTTCTTTCACCTCCATGCTCTGAGCTGAATCCTGGTCCCAACAGTTACCCAAGCTCATACACTGCACAAAGGAAAATCATGGGACAACAAGGGTCAGTTTCTTCCTAACCAAGAAAGATGAATTAGACAAACCCTGCCTGTCCCCTCTAGCCTTCATGAACTCCTATACTCTTCACACATGGCTTTAATGCAGTGATTGGCATGCACAGTTCCTGTGGTCTCATGGAGGTCCTAGTCTGATCTTGAGACACCCTCACTGCAGAGATCTGCTATGCAGCAACCTGTGTCCCCTTCCAGAGCTGTAGCATGATTTGCTTCAGTGACTCCTGCCTCAAACACAGAGCAACATTTATACTGTAGCTCTATATGCAACTATATGCAGTTGTTCCAGTCCCGTCAGTGACCACTGAGGCTCTGCATTCTGATTTTATGTCTCTTATGAGAAACAGTAAGCTCCTATGGCTCCTTATTTGCTGCCCCCTTATCAGTTTTGAATCTGTTTTCATAAGACGCTTTTTCCTGCCCCTTGTGTAGTTTTTTTCTTTAAGGAGTTTCTGAAAGAGAACTTTAATAAAAGATTGTAGAGAATCTAGCTAAACAATGCCCACTGGGTTGTCTTCATCTCTCTTCTCTTTCAAAATATTGTGAAGTTTCAGAGACAGTCTTCCCTTCTGTATTTCAGAAGCTAGTATACTTTTAAGAGTTTAAAATTAAACAGCATCTTATTTATTCAGTTAATTTCCCTGGAAATCAGAAATTGAGGTTGCTGGGATCTCAAGTGATTTGAACAATCAAGTCGTCTTTTGAGTTACTGTCTTAAGCTGGTATTTGTTGATTACTTAAGAAGTTGTTATGGCAGTATGGTTAGGGACCTGACATTTTTGGTGTCAGTGTGAAATGTTTTCTGTCAAGACAAGTATGAAGAGCAGGCTTGTGAAAAAGATCACATGTGGCTATCTGAGGAAAACTGAAGGAAAAATGGAAAAAAAAAGGAGTTAATTTCAAAATCTAAACACTGTTGTTTCATATGCTAAGTACCTATATTGTTGTTATGGAGCCTGTGTTGTACAGCCTAACTACCTATGTTGTTGTTCAACTTACTGCTATGGGATGACTTCTTCCTTCTGTTCTCCTACAGGACTCAGAGGAGTCTTGTTTTTGTTCCTACGTATCCAACCCTCTCTTGGCAGTATCCCTCCCTAACCACCTTCACAGAACACAGAGTGTGGTTTGTCCGCACTCAGAGATCTAATTTTGTTCCTGTAAACCCCTCCCCTCATCTCTCGGCCTCCAAAACTCTGTCCTGGCTTTTTCTTCTCCTCCCTCTTTCTTCCCCAGCTGTTAGGAAGCCTGAATTCTGCTTTATCTGCTAAAAGAGGAAAATTTTGAGACAACGAAGACCAGAAAATACCGCCAGGTACCAGTCTTTTCTCTTCTGCAATGACAGAATTAAGATGAAACTGCTACCTTGGAGCCCTGGGAATTAGGACTTATAAAGAAGGGGGACTGCCTGTGGCAGAAAAGGACAGAATAAGGAATGGCTTTTAGGGGTAAGGAAGGCTCAACTCCATGAGAGACTGTGCAGAGAGACTTTGAGGGCTGAGGAGCCCGTGAAGGTACTGGAACGGCATCAGAGAGATATAAAATGATCAAATTTGAAGGTGGGGGTGGCTTTTGAGAGGCAACACTTTTAGCGGGGATATGAACAGCTCCATCTCCCAACAACTACCTCAGCTGCAGGGATATGCTGAAGCAGGATGGGCCTGGGGACTCTTGCCAGTGGAGGTTACTGAGGCACTAAGAAGGGGATATGATATAGTTATTGTTGGAGATTAATCTCCATATCCAATCCTGGAGTCAGGCTGCTGACCTGCAGCAAAGTCCTCAGCAATCACTGCTAAAGCCCCGGCCCGATGCGGTGTGACTCCTACTAGTGCTATGAGGCAGGAGGAACACGCTGCCTACACGTGCTGCAGCATTGCCTATTTTGTGACACAGGCCTTCTTGCCCTTTCGCTCCCACTGGCTCACAGGTGGGTTTGCGAGCCTCCTGTCCTCAGTGTTTTCTGTTTCTTGCCACATGCACACTTCCCATGCTGATGCTGAACTCTCCCAAGCTCTGTGCAGAAAACCTGCACTTGCTTCATGCGGAAGACCAGCCTTGGGTGTACAGGCATCCAAGAACATTCTTGCAACCAAGTACTAATCGCTTAAAGGGAAAAACAAGCTCGGGTATCCAGCCCAGAGTAGTTCAATTTCTGTGAGTTTCTGATCTTTGCTCGCTACTATACTGGGAAGCTAAATCAAAGTTACTACAGTATTTGGTTTCTCACACTTAAAAGCACATGGACTCGGGAAAAGGAAAAGTCGAGTTAACAAGTGACAACTGAGCGTGAAGTCATATGACACCCCTGCAAGCAGCCAGAATCCCTGAGGCTGTTGGCAGCAATTAGAAGAGTCAGCTTTTCCACCCGGGAAGCCTCCTCTGCCTTCGGAAGGCTAATTGCCACTAGCTACCTGACGTCTTTGCCTAGTGGGAGATAACCTGTACATGAAAAAGGCTGTGTGATAGCTCGCTAGTGCGAAGTTCAGGCTAGTAGTTTCAGCTTCCAACTCTGATTTAAAGTTTGCTTCCCTTCCCTTTTTTTTGCCTTTTTTTTTTTTTAAACACTGAATAGCATAGGTTTGCTTTTATGGCTGAATGTTGGGAAGCCTCTGTAGCATCTAGAGCCTTAATTTAGTGGATGGTTACAATACAGGCTTCATAACAGGTGGGCAGAGGGGGGAAATCCATTATTTTCCTTTGACTAACACAAAATCTCCAACCTGTGACTTTCTCTGAACTATCCAGTGGCTCCTCAAAGCACCACGTTGCCTACAGTTACATATGGAAAAGGATAATAAGTTGAGGAGAGGAGCATTAGCCATTATCTAGTTCCAGAGAAAACTGCTATTTTGGATCAGAGGGGATGGCGGGCTAGATATCTTCCAATCCATTCTTCCAGCCCTAGGCACTGAGTACTGTGAATCTACAAGCAAAGGAAATCCAGAGGTGGAAATGCAGCAAAAATCTGTCCCTCTTACTGAAGCTCTCACTCTGGTATAATTATACCAAAAGCATCATTCACCACCAAATAACTCAAAATCATATGGTAATTGGTTTAGCTATACAAACTTAAATTCCAGAAAATGGCATTTTAATTAGAAACTCTGCTTTTAAGAAAGGCTGCAAAGTATAACAGTTATAACTGACACTCAATACCTATTTCTAATTTTACTTTATATATGGATATACTAAAGCTACTTTCATATACTTCTAAAATCATTTTTGTAGTATAGATATTGAATGTGATCGTTCTAGGCTTATAAACTATTAGTCTTCACTTCAGATCCAACCAAAGATAGAAAATCCTAACTCTCTATTCCTGAAGTTTTAAGATAAAATCTTGTTTATATCAAAGCTATTTGATTTCCTTGGACATTCATACTCCTGTCTCAGCAAAATACAGTATTTATTTTTAAGGAAAACGCAATATGACTTTTTCAGGTGTCGGTCTGATGTTTTAGGTTGGGTAATGGAAAAGCGGGATTGCATCAGGCTGGACAACCTTGTGTAGTACATTGCTTTTACACAAAAGAAGTAGAAATAATGTTGGATAAGCTAAATCAGAATTAGAGCTAATGGGAACTTGTAAGTCTACAGAGACCTAAGACAATGACCATCCAACAAGAGCACAACTTTTATTTTTTGCATTAATGACAAATGATGTCTAGAAGCAAAGCCAGCATCACTTAACAGGGAATGCTCCTGTGATCCTCACAGAAGGCTGATTACAAGGTCCCTGATGTCACCTTTTACACTGTCCTTGCAACGCTAGAAACTTGAATGAGGCACTTGCACTTATGTGCAAAATTCTGGTTCCTGACATGCAATAGACTCATGTGGAAATATCTTACACCTTACAAAAATGCTTTCTATCCTCAAATAGTGATTTAATTTTAAAATAAAGATAGAAAGTTTTCAACTTTTGTGTGATGACACCCATCTTTCTGAAACACAATTCCTGAATATACGCATGTCAGAAGCTGTCAATAGCTATAGCTGTGTTGGAAGATGTAAAAAAAACACAAAACCCTAGAAAATCTTAACCTCAGTTTCAAGCACAAGTTAAAGTTCTAACCTTCACCAGAATATAATTGCCTTTAAAAATAATCTTACTAAATCTAAAGTTGTCACAAGAAAAATTGAAAAATCTCTCCAGCATTGATTAACAATTAATTAGAAAACAATTTAAGACAAAAGAACATAGATCAAACCTGCCCTATCATTAACATCAAATACGTGTCTTGTCATGAGCATCCCTTAACATGGTACTTAAAAATTCCACTTACTCTCAAAACACTCTATTTTCTGTTTTTGTCACTTCCTTTTCTAACCAACAGTTGAAAGTAAATTCAAGACAAGTTAGATGAGCAGGAATCATCTCTCCAAGATATTAATATTTTATTTTAGCTCCATCTTTTTCAAATTAGCCTGCATTTTAAACCTAATTATATTTTACTGTTTCCCGCTATTAATTTAACAACAACTTGTTTACAACCATTCAAAGGGCCGGAGTTTATACTGAACGGCTCCATTCCTTTTTAAAAGGGCCTTAACACAATTTCTCCAAGTCCTCTGGCTTTTTTTCCCCCTCTGCATTCAACTGGCATTTGGAAAAGTCTGGAGCAAAATGCTCCAGACACGCACGGGGATGACTTAACCAGGCGCATCACTTTGTGGCAGGGCCAGGCACAACGTTTTAACTGCCTGATCATCCCTGTGTCCAGGCTGGAGCTCCTGCAGCCTCGACTGTATCTCGAGGCACAAGGACAGCTCAGCTGTTAAGCAATCAACTGCTTATCCAAAACCCAAATGATGCTTGAGTACGGGAAAATGAGAGAGAAGCTCATTTCAAGTACACAAAAAACCACAACGGCTTCTTGATGTAACAAGCACATGCAGAAGGTACATAGTTAAGAGTGAATTAAGATTAGTGCAATGGAGCAACGATCAGCACACATGCAGAAGTGTAATGGAAGAAATAGAGACTTGTATATGTATTAATAGATACGCACACACAAAGATAGGTTCATTACACTGAACACACATATATAGTAATTGCAAATACAATCACCAGCTACAGTAATTGTTATGGGACCAACTCTACAAATACAGAAAAAGAAGACTACAAAAGTCTGTGGAGGATGGGTTCACAAATTGCCACTAATCAAGAGGAGGTGTTCTTTCTTGATATCTCTATGCACACGTTTGTAAATATCTACAAGTTTTCGTCTGGTTTCTTTTATCTTCTCTTTTTCATTAACTGCAGTATTTAACTTTACTAGATCCACATGAAGCAAAAGCTTCTTTTAACATAGCACCAATTTAGAACATTC